TGTTTTTTAATAAATTAGTAACTGTATATACGACTTGCATATTTTTAAAAAATAATTAAAAAGTTAAATATATTATGTATGACTTTCTTTTTTAATATAAGTTATACATGATATATATGAGTTACATATTTTATTTACAATAAACGTATTTATATGTTAAAGTTTGTAAAAAAAAATAATAAAAAGAGAAATTGCAAAACTGCATTTATATATATTTCAAAATTTAACTTTTATTGTTTCAAGCTTGGGGTGCATTTGTAATTCTTTAATTTTATTTTATAAAAATTATCAGCTAAAATTTTTTAATTCTTTAAAATTTAATATCTAAATAAACATTTTATTAAAACAGAATTTCAAACTCTCACAAAAATTTGAATTCTTCACTTTAAAGTTTATATCCAAACATAATATAAGAGTAACGGTGAGATTTAAGAATGTATTAGAAAACCTTCTAGATGTTATTTGTAAATAAAAATAATATCGCTATTATATTTATTAGTACTATTAACTACAAATTAATTACATATATACAATAAAAGATGATAATAGTAATAAACAATCAAATTATTTCTCTCTAACGTGTTCTTTGAAGAAATTTCTTTTCTTCTAATACAGAAATAATTAATACTCCAATAATTTAAGTTTATAATTTGTTACTTCCTCTATGAATATATAATTGCAACATTTATAACATTAATTATGTCTACCTTTGTTTTAAATAAAATATATATGTCATAAATTTTTAAATGATTGTTTAAATTTATTTATTTAAACAAATAAGATCAAATGTAAAGATAAGTCTAAATATTTAAGTGAGTGAAAATTAAATTTATATTAACAACTCATAATCTTATTTATTATATTTAATTTTCTTAAAAATTCATAATCTTAATTGTAATTTTCATGGAGCACATGTTGCAATGAGAGGTCAAGTAATTGTGAACCTGAAAGTCAGGCTCATCAAGACAATAAACACATTCCAAGGGGGGGATGAAGAGCCTATCTACCCCATCCTGCTAAGATGACTATGGATACATTTATACTCGTGTGTCCCATCATCCTTGCACCAATTTGTGCAGTTTAGTTTTAAAGGAAAAAAGATTTAGATACCTACTACCAAAGTACTCTTTGAAGCGATGAAGTTGTATCGAGTAGATACCTACTACCATAGTACTCTTTGAAGCGATGAAGCTGTATCGGGTAGATACCTCATACTTTAACAAGTTAACGCTCCCAAGGATCAACATACTCAAAGCATCATTAGCGCTGAACTTGGGCAAGCGTGAAAATGAGGGAAAGTAATAAAAAAGAGAATGAAAAAATGCCCACGGTTAGAACAAAGCAAAACACATGGTGATCAATGAGTACTACCTAACAAAAACCACGTTTGGCAGATATTGTAGGAAGAAAGAGGTTCAATTGAGTTGAACTTATTCCCAGTTGGCCTTGAATATTTGGAGAATCTTGGAAAGAATAGAGTTAAACATGACAGAGGTCAAAGAAGAACCACTGGCGTTGTAGGATGTCCCTATACTAGATGAAGGAAAATGGGTAAAAGTAGATGTAGGCAAGGAAGGTGAGGTTCCTAGGATGATAAAGTAGGTGCAAAACTCTTACGTAAAGAAAAAGTTGTGTTAGTGGTTTTATTGAATGAGTTTAAGGACATGTTTGCATGAGAGTATAAGGAGATGTTAGAGCTAAGTACATTTCTAATAACGCACAACCCAATTGTGTGGCCAAAGCGTGAGACCTATAAAGCAACTCATCTGTAAATATATTTTGGAGAGAATCGTCAACAACAAATAAAAAGAAAATTTTGGCCTTCTTTATTCCTCTTTTTTCTTTAAGAATTGTTTGGAAAGATAAATTTTAGAGAAAGAATAAATATAATTCAAATTAATATTTTTAAAATAAAATATAAAAATAATTCTATTTTATTTAGATAATTTCAATTTTTAATTTTAAAATATATTTTCTATAAATGAAAACTATTTTAATACTTTTTTAAAATAATTCTATTAAAATTCAAAAATATAAATTAAACTATTTATATTTGATCTGTAAGACCAAATGTAGCCCAGAAAATTACTATTGGAATAAATCCTAACAAAAAGATAAAGCTTATTTTATAGGTTAATTAATATTAATGTAGTGTTTAAGGATGGTAATTGTAGAAATATGGTGTTTTGGGAGAAAGTACGAGTTTGTGGCTTTCAAAAAAGCACCATGAGTAATGCTATTTAGACACCCATTTTAGGTGTCTGTACGCGAAACCGTATAGTAAAAGAAACCAAGTACTAGGTTATGGCACGAGGTCATACACGTGTCAAAAATAAACCTAATTACTATAGCACGAGGCAAGCAACCAAGATCGTTTATCAAAGGATCACAGAGACGAATTAATCAATTTGGAGAGTATGTAGGACCGGGGGTGATATAGAATCAATAGAATCAACAAAACAGAGTCAAAGTTGAAAGGATTAAATCAATTGGAAAAACACCTAATTCAAGAATCAAGAAAGAATATGCAAACATTCAATCACGGAATCCCAAAATACATATTATTCAAATTTGGTGGTTAAAGACTAGATTCAACTGAGACCTCAAATTAAATCAAGCGATCACACAAAAACCTTCATGCATTTGATTAACACAAATTCAATTAAACTTAGAAACCTCAGAAAAACCTAATTGAACGTGTTAACTTTCTAAACCACTTAATTAACCTTAATTTTTGAAAATCAATTCATGCACTTCAACCGAAACAAAACAATGAATTGAATTCCCTCTAAAAAATAAATCGAACAAAAACCTTCAGTTCATGATATTAATCAGAATGGAGAGAAACAAGAAACCAGGAAACACAAATTCAAATATAAAATCTACAAACCGATTCTCATGAATGTTGCATTCCGCTGATCCTTGAACTAGATAAACAAAACTACTCCTCCATGGATGGAAGCTCACGAAAAAGAAAAATCTCTAAAAAAAATGAGTCCCAAAAAACAAAAATGTCCTCAAAAAGAAAAACTCCTCATCTTTTATTCAAATCTGACTTTTCAAAAATTCAGCAACAAACCGTAACTTCCTCCTTCAAATTTGCCCAGGAAATGCATCTGTTATGATTTTTAATTGATATACCCTTCAAGCCACGGATGTTAGCTTTCAAATGCCACTAGAATGAGTCGAATCGGACATTTGTGGGCCGAGATATGACCCAAACACTGCACTAAGGTCCAGAATCCGCGAATTGCGTCTTCCAGCCCAGTTTTGGTCCAATTCTGTTTCTGGATGCTATGATTCAGCCTTTAAATCTCTATTAGTGTTGTAGGCCCATCTCTTAGCTTTCAAATGCAATTGGAATCACTCAAATCTGATAACTATAGCCTGAGATATTACCTACACAATAAGCAAAGGTCAAAAGGCTCTAAAATTCGAAAGTTAACAAAGTTTAACAATTAAGCCCAATAATATAAAACTCAGCCAAAACAATACAATTAAGCACAAATCATAACTAATTAGGCCTATTACAAAGCTATCACAAGCGTATAAAAATTCATTGATCAAAATTCCCCACACTTAAGCTTTTGCACTCCTGGGCAAATACACAACAATTCACTAAGTATGCAAAAAATGAACAAAGATGAATGCATGAAAACAAAATTTTACATACTTTACAATGAATCCTAGGCATGAAATGAGGTGAGCATGATACAGTAAAAGAACATTCCAAGTGTCAAGAAGTCAACAACTCTTATCATTCCAAGCAAACAAGGAGCAAATCGAACTAAATGGTGAACCAAAAGTGATAGAATCCTCTCTATTCACGCTCTCTATCTCTCAAGTGTTCAAGTTTGTGTTTACGCTCAAGGTACTCATGAAAGCAATCACTACCATAGGCTTGACAAGCCTCTAATTTCTACCACTTGAAACATATGCACATAAAGATCAAAAGGACTTTACTAGGGTTGTAACGGGGCTAGGGTAAAGATGGATAAGAAAAGTCATTTAAGCTATAACCCTAAGGAAATAAAGGAGCAGTGGGGAACGAATTATACATAAGGGTCAACCCCCCCCCAAGAAAATAGATCAATGACAATGAACAAACAAATCCTCTTATGCTTCCTTTGCAATTTTTTTTCCTTCACTACAACCTCTTATTGATTGATTGAATATATTATTATTTTATTATTGAATATATTATTATTTTTTTTCGTATTCTTTTGAAGCACAAAACATGCTAAATTGCCCACTTGTCAACAAAACAAAAGCATACAAATTTAACAAAACCCCCACACTTAAAGAGGGACTCATTCTCAAAACAATTCCAAAGCTCTTTCATCCTTAAGGCTAAGGTAAATCATGGCCTTTCACTTCAAGAGCTTGTAATGAGCTACAAAACAAAGGATGGGTTAGATAGGCTCAAAGGGCAAACAAGGGATAATGCAGGGTAGGCTAATATGGCCAAGTGGCTAAAGACAGAGAAGGCCTAGATTATTTCAACACATGCATGTGAACAAGTGAATCAAAAAGAGTGAAGTCAAGTTCCAGAGTACCTAACAATCGTGAGCAAATCACACAAGAAAGAAAGAATGGCAAGATGTAATCCATTCAATACAAGGCCCAAATTCTCACAAAAGGCAATAACTATCACAATTGATTCATAATTTGATTCTCTTGGTTAACTTGGTATACTTGAAATGCAAGAGAAGCATCCATTCACGCCTTGAAACCATAAATTAAGAATGATCAAAGCTCACAATTTATATAAAAACCTAGAAATCCATTACAAAGTATGCAAAACTTCCCTCTTTTTTTTTATGCAACAAAATGCAGAAACAGCAAACAACATGCATAAAGCAGAAAATAGCAAACATTTTTTTTTATAAACCCTTCCCCACACTTTAATCACACATTGTCCTCAATGTAAGCACAGCGAAATAACATGGAAAATAGACAAGTGTAATGAAAGAGTAGAAAAAGAAGGGCAAACTCCCTCATCAAGTGTATGTGGCCGCCAATAAGCGAACCTCTTCTATTTCCAATGGTATGTCCTCATGAAATGGCTTTAAGCGATGGCCATTCACTATGAAAGCTTTGTTTGTGGTGGGCTCTAAAATCCGTACTGCACCATAAGGAAAAATCTTTGTCACAATATAAGGACCTAGCCACCTATAACAAAGCTTACCAGAAAAAAGTTTGAGGCGAGAATTGTAAAGAAGCACTTTCTGGCCAATAGAGAACTCCTTTCGTAACAACATCTTGTCATGGATGAATTTAGTCTTCTCTTTGTATAGGTGGGAGTTCTCATAAGCTTCCATTCGAATCTCTTCCAACTCTTGAAGCTGGAGCTTCCTGTGTGTTCCAGTCTGGCTCAAATCAAGGTTACAATTCTTCACTGTTCAGTAGGCTCTATGCTCAATCTCCACCTGTAGGTGGCATGCTTTGCCAAAAACAATCCTATAAGGGGACATCCCCAAAGGAGTTTTGTAGGCAGTGCGGTAAGCCCATAATGCATCCTCCAGTCTCTTGCTCTAATCCTTTCTGTTGGGCTTGACTGTTTTCTCCAAGATCTGTTTCAACTCCCTATTTAACACCTCTGCTTGTCCATTGATCTGTGGATGGTATGGAGTTGAGACCTTGTGAGTGACACCATATTTCTTCAGTAGGGCTTCCATGTTCCTGTTACAAAAGTGGCTACCTTGATCACTGATGATAGGGCACTCCAAACCTGCAAAAAATGTGTGATCTAACAAAATCTACAACAACATGAGAATCATCAGTCCGAGTGGCCTTAACCTCCACCCACTTGGAGACATAATCAACAGCTAATAAAATGTAAATAAAATCAAAAGAAACAAGAAATGGGCCCATAAAGTCAATGCCCCAAACATCAAATATCTTACAAAACAATAAGGGTTGTTGAGGCATCTCATTCCTACGAGAAATACTACCTATTTTCTGACATTGTGCACAACTTTTACAAAATGTGTAAGCATCACGAAACAATGTGGGCCAGTAAAAACCAGAATCTAAGACCTTCCTAGCAGTGCGCTGTGGCCCAAAGTGACCCTCATATGCAAGAGTATGACAAAACTGCAAAATAGATGGTATCTCTAGCTCATGCACACAACGCCTAATGACCTGGTCACTACACATACGCCATAAATAAGGATCATCCCAAACATAATACTTAGCCTCACTCTTAAGTTTCTCTATTTGGTGCTTTTTAAAATAAGCAGGCAACTCAGAAGCAACCAAATAATTTACTAAGTCAGCATACCATGGATCCTTACCTTGCAGCTCTAATAACTGCTCATTTGGAAAAGTCTCACGGATGGGAGAGGCTCTAAAGTTTGTGGGATCTGACTCAGGTGGTCTGCTACCAAGTTCTCGGCTCCACTCTTATCTTTGATCTCAATATCAAATTCTTGCAAAAGCAACATCCATCTGATGAGTATGGGCTTTGCATCTGGTTTCTTTAATAAGAACTTTAGTGCAGCATGATCAGAAAAGACTGTCACTTTAGTTCCTAATAGATAAGTACGAAATTTATCTAAAGCAAAAATGATAGTCAAAAGCTCCTTCTCAGTGGTGGTGTAATTTGCTTGTGTAGAGTCTAAGGTTCGGGAAGCATATGCTATGATGTGAGGAACCTTCCCAACCCTCTGTGAAAGAATAGCGCCTACTGCAAGGTTTGATGCATCACACATAAGCTCGAACGGGTACTCCCAATTAAGCGGCTGAAGCACAGGAGCAAAAACCAGATGCTGCTTCAACTTGTCAAAAGCTCTCCTACAATCATCATCAAACTGGAAGTCTATTTCTTTTTGTAGTAGCTTGGACAACGAAAGAGCAATCTTGCTGAAGTCTTGGATGAATCTCCTGTAAAAACCTGTATGTCCAAGAAAAGAACGCACTTCCTGCACACATATGGGGTAAGGTAAAGAGGCAATAATATCGATCTTAGCCGTATCAACAAGAATGCCCTCACTAGAAATGACATGTCCCAAGACTACACCCTGCCCAATCATAAAATGACATTTTTCAAAATTCAAGACAAGATGAGACTGAATGCATCTATGCAATACCCTATCAAGGTTGTCTAAACAACATCAAATGATTGACCATATACGGTGAAATCATCCATAAAAACTTCCATACAGTTCTCAAGAAAATCAGAAAAAACACTCACCATACATCTCTGAAATGTACCTGGGGCGTTCCATAAACCAAAGGGCATCCTCCGGTATGCAAAAGTGCCGAATGGACAAGTAAAGGTGGTCTTTTCTTGATCCTCTGGTGCAATATGAATCTGGAAATAGCCAGAAAACCCATCAAGGAAGCAATAGTGCGATTGACCTGCCAACCTCTCAAGCATCTGGTCAATGAAGGGCAAAGGAAAGTGATCCTTCCTGGTAGCTTGGTTCAGCCTTCTATATTCTATGTAGACTCTCCAGCTATTCTACACTCTTGTAGGAACCAGCTCCTCCTTTGAGTTCTTCACCACTGTTATTCCACTTTTCTTCAGAACCAATTGTATTGGGCTCACCCACTTGCTATCTGAAATCGGATAAATTATTCTAGTAGCTAGAAGCTTGCTGACTTCTTTCTTGACTACATCCAAAATTAAAGGGTACAACCGCCTCTGGGGTTGCCTTACTGGTTTCACTCCTTCCTCTAACTGAATTCTGTGCATGCATGTAGAGGGGTTAATACCAGGTATGTCTGCCAATGTCCAGCCTATAGCCTTCATATTTTGCTTTAAGATGTTCAGCAACTTCTCTTCTTGTTCTGGTAGCAAATCCTTGGCTATGATGACTGGTAACTTCTCATTTGGTGCCAGAAATGCATACTTCAAATTTTCTGGAAGGGGCTTCAACTCCAAGGAGGGTGGCTCTAGGATAGAAGGTGCTAATTTTTGAGTTGCTTCCGATGGTTTGATTTCAGCACCTGTAATCTATGAAAAATTCTGCACAACAGCATTATCATATCCTATGAAAGCTAAATCAGGATAAAAAATAGAATCTGGAATTTCACAATTAAAAATAGAAACAACAGAATTTTTAGAGAAGATAGAAGCAGAAATAGTAGGAACAGGAACAGGAACAGCAGAGATAGAAACAGAATTTTCAAAATTTGAATCATGTAAGCAAACATCAATCTCAGCACAAACAGCACAATTCTGATGAATTCCATCACAATCAGAACATTGAAACTCATTTTTAAAACCTATTATTTCTGGAAAATCATCCAACAGATGTTCATGCACATTATCCACCAATGAATCAATGATGTCTATATGAAAAATAGAATGTTCTTCTGGTGGGTATCTCATTGCCTCAAACATATTAAAATGCACTTTACTATCTCCAAATTCCATGGATAATGTACCAGAATGCATATCAATCTTAGTCTTAGCAGTTTTCAAAAATGGCCTACCTAAGATTAATGTTGGTTGATTAGCATGGAAATCATCCTCCATATCTAGCACATAGAAATCAGCAGGAAAAATAAGCTCATTTACTCTTACCAACACATCTTCTAAAACTCCCTCTAGGTGTGTTGTGCTTCGGTTGGCAAGTTGGATGACCACTCCTGTTGATTTGAGCTCACCAATGCATAATGACTGGTAAATGGATTTTGGCATGACATTTATTGAAGCTCCTAGATCCAACATAGCTTGACTGATCTCCTTGTTTCCTATGATGCATGGAATGGTGAAAGTCCCTGAATCCTTGCATTTAGGAGGAATGCTTGGCTGGATAATGGCCGAAACATTTCTGCCCATGCTCACCTTCTCATTTCCCTTCACCCTCCTTCTGCGAGTACACAAATCCTTGAGGAACTTGGCATATTTTGGGATCTACTTGACCGCTTCTAGGATTGGGATATTGATTTCCACCTTCCTAAAAGTCTCCATGATCTCCTTGTTCAATTCTGCCTCTGCCAGCTTCTTATTATGTGTCACTCTATTTGGAAAAGACAGTGGAATATTTGGTTCCGCTTCCCTGCTGCTGCTCTTTTTGGCTAGTTCTGCAGAATCTGATTCGTTAGCAGCAGAATCATTTTTATCTTCACCACTTGCAGAATCTGAACGTTCTGCCTGGTTTGGTACTTGCAGGTCCTTGCCACTTCTTAGGGTAATAGCACTCATATTCTTTGAATTGGCCACAGTTTGGGAGGGAAGATTTCCAGATCCCTGTGACTTGAGTTCATTCACAATTGTGGCTAACTGGCCAATCTGCGTTTGCAGATTTTGGATACTGACTTCTGTTCTCTGCTGGAACTGAACACTGCTATTTGCCATCTGCTTCACCAATTCTACTAGGCTTAGCTCTGCACTGCTGTTTTTTTGAGGGAATTGCCCTGAACTTGGACCTGCAAAATTTTGTCTAACATATTGGTTAGGTTGCTGAGATGGGCTGGAATTACCAGACCTTAAGTTTGGATTATCTCTCCAACCAAGATTGTATGTTTTGGAGAAAGGGTTGTAATTCTGCTGTTGCTGCTGATAGGGTTTACTATGAAAAATTCTAGCAACTGTCTCATTAGTAGTCTCTCTCAATTCTGGACATTGATCTGTTGGATGGTTGGGGAGAGAGCAAATGCCACAAATAATGTCTGTCGGTGGCATGGTTTGCTGGGGCCGCTGCTGACCAAGAGCCATTTGCCTAACCAATGATGTCAACTCTTCAATTCGGTTCTCCATCCTTTGCTAGTTGGCATCAGAAGTTTGCACTTCATTTACTCCTCTAGCTGAAACCATAACTCGTGTACCAAATTGTTGTGTATTGGCGGCCATATTAGCAATCAAATCTCTGGCTGCAACAGGTGTTTTGTCTACCAATGCACCACCAGAAGCAGCATCAATCATGCTTCTGTAACAAATTGTAACTTCCTCCTTCAAATTCACCCAAGAAACATGTTTGTTATGATGTTTAATTGATATTCCCTTCAAGCCACAGATGTTAGCTTTCAAATGCCACTGGAATGAGTCGAATCGGACATCTATGGGCCAAGATATGACCCAAACACTGCACTAAGGTCTAGAATCCGTGAATTGCGTCTTTCAGCCCAGTTTTGGTCCAATTCTGTTTCTGGATGCTATGATTCAGCCTTTAAATCTCTATTAGTGTTGTAGGCGCATCTCTTAGCTTTCAAATGCAATTAGAATCACTCAAATCCGATAACTATAGCCCGAGATATTACCTACACAATAAAAGCAAAGGTCAAAAGTCTCTAAAATTCAAAATTAACAAAGTTTAACAATTAAGCCCAATAATATAAAACTCAGCCAAAACAATACAATTAAGCACAAATCACAACTAATTAGGCCTATTAAAAAGCTATCACAAGTGTATAAAAATTCATTGATTAGGTTACACCAAACTTATTTTACACACGCGCACAAGTTACCAAACCTCATAAAAAAACTTCTTCAACTCTCTCACTCAATCATGCATCCTGTTCATTTTCTTCTTCAAAGGAAAAAAAACTTCTTTTGCTAACCACCCAATGGCATTTCGTTCGTCCTCTTCTTTTTCTTTTTGAAAGGAAAAAAAACTTCTTCTGCTAATCGCCGAGTGGCCTTTCCTTCATCCTCTTCTTCTTCTTCTTGAACAAATAAAAAAAAAATATTTGAATGACTCTTGCCCTTGTTCATGTTCTTGAATGACTCTCGCCCTTGTTCATGTTCTTGAATGACTCTCGCCCTTCTTCTTATATGTCCTCTTCTTCGCCCTTGTTCTTGTTCTTCTTCAACCAAAAAGAAACATTTTTCACTCCCGCCCACTATTCATTCTTTTGTGACTTTCTCTCACTTGTTGTTTGCAGCCTACTCTGTATATGTGTATTAATTGGCCCTCATTCCAACCTCTATGTTTTGAAAGCTTGAAATATTGGTTGGGCATCACTCTCAGCATCACATGTATTTTTTCCCTCCTCTTCTTTAGGTTTTCCACAATGTTACGGGTACATATAATGTTGAAGAGTACTCTGAATTCATTTTAGATTCCTCTATAGTGGCCTTATAGAAAATGACATTTAGTGAATGTAGGTAATTTGACATATTAAGTTAGTAATTTTTTTTTACCTAGGTTCTGGTAATTTAGTGTATAAGCTCATAATTCTTCAGGTGTGTCTTGTATTGATGAGTAACTAGAAATAATTTTATATTCTGCTATGGTGGCGTTCAAGACAACAACATTTAGTGAATGTAGGTAATCCAACATCACAGCTAGTAAGTATAAACTGGTAATCCATCAAGTCTATAAATTTGTCTCCTACTCCCATTATTGGACTAGCTAACATATTGAATAGGGGGATAATACAATGGTGTATACTGTAATCCTGAGTAATATACTACAATTAAAATTATAACAACTTTTCCTTAAGTGAACTGTATATAGATGGTAATTGACCATAAAAAGTTGGTAATTCAATGTTCAAAGTGTTGGTAATTGATTATAGAAGCTGGTAATGTTGCAGTGTGTACACAATTTTTTTCCACTTCTCTAATGTGTGTTACTGAACTTAATTAATGGCTAACATAAGGTTATTTATTTATTTGTCACTAATAGTAGACCATAAGTACAAAACTGCTACTAATATGATAACAATAGTATTGTAACTAAACTGTATGAAGATGGTTATTGACCATATAAAGCTAGTAATTCAATGTTTAATGTGATGGTATTTGTAATATGAAACTATTAATTTTGCAGGTTGTACACATTTTTTATTAGAATGTCAAATATGTGTTACTGAACTTACTTAATGCCTAACATAAGGTTATTTAATTTTTTGTCACCAATATTAACTCATAAGTACGAAACTACTACTAATATGATAATAATTTTACTTTAAGTGAACTGTATGAAGATGGTAATCACCAAATAAACCTGGTAATTCGATGTTCAATGGTAATTGTAATATGAAACTGGTAATGTTGCAGGTTTTTATAATTTTTTTCCACTTCTCTAATATGTCTTACTGAACTTAATTAATGGCTAACATAAGGTTATTTGTTTTGTTGTAACCAATATTAACTGATAACTACAAAACTGCTACTAATATGAAGGTGGTAAATCACCATATGAAGTTGGTAATTTAATGTTCAATGTGATAATAATTGATTGTAGATACTGGTAATATTGCAGGTTGTACACAAAATAAAAAAAAATGACATGAGGAAAAGGACATTTAGTTGAAGATTCAACAACCTTAGGATTAGACCAGGACTTTGATCCTAATGAAAATGTAAATTTAGATGAGTATGACTATAGTGATGAAAGTAAAGAAGTTATGCATAGTAATAAGATTTGTGAACAGTCAAAGAAGCAGACTAAGAAGAAATCTGGCTGCAAGGTATGTATTCATCAAACCTGTTTCTCCTTTATCATTCAGATTGAGGTTTTATGTTTGATAGTTGAATTGGAATGCATGTATATAGGTTGTTTTCCTTAGTCGATGCTCACCAAATTGTTTACAAACGATTTGTAACATCTTGACACAAGAACAATGAGACACAGTGATTGGTATGGGGTTTAGAGGACTTTTCCATGTTAAATGTACAAGACTTGATAGGAGGGTGTGCTAAAAATTGGTAAAGTCTTTTGATTTACATCAATTATGCATATACGCTAAGGGAGAGGAGATTCGAGTCAGCTATTGCGATGTAGGCAAAGTTTTTGGCCTACAAGAACATGGTATGTCAATTGTCCATATTGCATAAGTTAATTAACATAAGGATTATTACAATATTTGTCAAGTTTGAAGGAATGAATATGTCAGATGTCATTATTTAAGTTCACTAAATGAGTTTTATAAATATTCTTAACCATTAGTTGTAATTAATTTTTTTACTTGGAAACTATTAAATCTAATATTTCGGATGAAAATAGGATTGGACATTCCAGAATGTGCCACAGCGGATGAAAGGGCAATGTTGAGTGAATTTGCAGGAATAACAAATGCTCAATTAAGTTGGATTATTGGTGGAGGCAAAGTAGACGACCAGTTTAGAAGAGCTTTTATCTTGTATATTTTGTCATGTTTCTTATGTCTAACTTTAAAGATGGCACCCTGTCCAAAGCTTTTAGGATCTATCATTGATATAGAGAACATAAAAAGCTACAATTAGAGCTTATTTGTTTTTAAGTGGCTTGTAAGACACTTGAAATCATATAAGACCAGACAATATAAGAGTAAGACAGCAGGGATTGGAGGTTGCGTCTTTTTCCTCAAGTTGTTGTAACGTATTACTTGAGTATCTATGTGTCCCTTTATATTATGTTGTAAAATTAAATTTCAGTGTTGCTGCAGGTTTTGTATTTTCATAAGCGTCTACTATGCATCACCGCATTGGACAAAAATATCCATGGGTTAAATATTGGGATGATGACATGATAGACAAGCGGATTCGGAAAGAGAAGAATAATGTGCTGGAAAATTCCATTGAGTTATCTCTAAGATACTTATTTGTGTTTATATTAGTGTAATTATAACTAAAATTGAAAATGGTTAATATGAAGATAATTTTTTTTTAATTAATGATAATTTCTATTCTTGAATAGGACCTATTGTACTATAGAAAAGATAAAGGTGATCTTGTTGACCCAGTGTGGTTGAAAGAGAATTTTGAAACGGAGGTATAGTAAATGTTGTTTTTAGATATGAGAATTTATATTTCTTTTTCTGGTGTTCAGTGTATTTTGTCATGTTATGCAATTTTTGTTGTCCATGAGTATGTTTGATTTAATATGAAAATGTAGTTGTTTCAAAACTTGG